TATAGCTACGCACAGTATATGAGTTATACGTGGTGTTCCAATGTGCTAATTTGCTAGACGCATGCCACAAGAACAGTCCAATAACACTCGAAAGTATCTTCATAAACACCGACTACAAACACCCAGAAGCCTGGTCAGATATGATAATAAATAACTTCCTAAGAAAAATAGCAAATTGTTTCCTATCTGAAATACCTCTCAATGAAGATAAAGCATAATTTTTCCGATCACCCTCATTGTATTATAATGAGAATTGTACAATAAGTAAGAAATCGTGAAGTGCACGTCGTTTGCAATAAACAGCTAGGTCATATCAATCTTTGCGTTTTCTTTCGCTTTACAGAACTTTCGAGTTTTTTTGTCGGCGATCATAAACTATTCCACATATAGGCTGACTAGGCTGAGCGTCTTTAATAAAACAAATAAAGTGTTTAACAAAAATCAAGCTTTCACAGCAAAGATGCGAAGTGGAAAAGCACGTTGTTTTGCTCTCTGTTTGGAGTTCTTGAGCTTCTTCTCATGTCCTGTTAGCTCTCTACGTTTCGCCCGAGTTTTTCTCCTACGAAGGTCAAGAGGTTTGTTTTTCGAGTTCTAAATATTTCAAAAACCGACAGCCAGATAAGTGGCAAGATTTCGTTGGTTGAGACATACCACATAAAGTTTGCGTAGCTCTTGTTTCTGCGTTTGGTGAATCACGGTTTGAATACGTGCCACATTTTTTCTGACAACGCAAATTTTGCTGAGCTTCGCTGGCGCACTACCGGTGACTTTCGCAACCTGAAAATATAAAACTAAAACGTAACGCACAATTCGTTTTAAACTTCAAATAATGTGCTATTGTTGCTTAGTTATCGCGCAGTTTTCAGGTGAATCTGAAGAAGATCCGGCACAGGTTACGGAGTGCTTGACAACAAATTGCCTGAGGAAAAAATAGGTTTGAAACACTCTCAAGATTACTTCCTTCTTATGCCGCTCTAAAGCGATAGTGAATGCTTTTATTCTTCAGAAAAGTCTTCGAAAATAAAAATGGGGTCATCGCACCCAGTTTCCGATTTCGCTTACCGGATGCCTAGCTAACATAAGATGAACCGTCCCGGAAGTTCATGCTAGCGCAGAGAGAACTTACTCCTGCGTACTGAATTCCACCTTCTGCATTGGGCTACATTAAGAGTCGTGCTCAACATATAAGTAGTCAAAAAGTTATGTTAATTCGACATTAAAAAATTGTTTTCGGCTTTGATTAAGTAATACTAAGAGAGTGCTAAACGTCAATCCTCGTACTCTTCTCAAAGTGAGTGCCCCGTTTTCAAAGAAAAATGAAAGACAATCGTACTGACGAAATGTTTTGGAGATTGTTTCTTTCTTCGTCACTACTTGACAGTATCCTTCAGCAGACTAGTGCAATAAATAACGTTGCTTAAAAACCTGATTCTCCCTTACTAGCTATAGCCCTAATCAATTGCCTCAAAAAAATCTACTCCAAGCAGACATTTATGCGGTGCTTGTTCTATTTACTCGTGGTGATACACGTCAAGAGAAAACGTAATTTCATAAATTTACAATGAAAGATTCTTCGTATAAGACGTAAACGGAAACGCCGTGCCGACTGCGGTATTAGCTTCCACACATTGATATGCAAGGAAAAAACCGAAAATAAAAAATGCGAGAAAGTTAAATGGTACATTCTCAATTTTTGTAAGAAAATGCCATCACGGAACGATGACATTGTGGACAAGCAATTCCCAAAAATCAAAAATTGGCATAATTTTTTGCTTCACAAATAAGTTTTGCTTTTAAAAAGTCAAGCCTCGGCACGAACGCTTATCCTTTACGATAACGAATACCCAATTGAAAACCCAGAAAATCACGGTCTCCTTTGTAACCAATAGAAACGGTGCAAAAGGGACAAGTGCAGCACAGTTTGCTTGGAGCGCAGCCACTCCCTTGAAGAAACTTAGGGTCCCAGCAAGGGAGGAGGGAAGTGCTTTGACCTGGATTACATTATAAGTTGTGCAAGGGTGTATAAAAAGTGTTTGATATAAGGAAAGCAACATGATGAGAAACAAAAAAGTGCTTACTGAGCGCAGACGTTAAGGTCATATGATTTAGAGCCGCAAGAGAGAGGGGAAGTGAGTTGTAGCTTTTTGCCGGTGACCTAACAAAAAGTTACGGGTAGGTATTTTTTTCTCATGAGCTTTGAATGATTTGTAGACAATCCTTGATCTTCTTGTTGTGCCCCTTCTTCAAATGAAGCCTGTTCATCAGCATCGCAAAGCAAATTATAAATGTGAATTTGAATTCCCTGGTGCGCTCTCAAGATTTAGAGCAGACTTTTGGACAGTTGATGATGTGTTAGGCTGAGTATAGACAACGGTTGTAAATACTAAAGAGGGCAAAAACGGAAAATGATAAGGTTCCTCGGATTTCCGGATTTTAAAATTCCTAAATTACGAAACTCGCCAAGATTTTATCTGATAGGATTATTTGACTTGCTGACCACGAATATCATATCGTGATCAGCAAGTCAAATAACCGTTTCGCACGATGGGGATTTCTGTAGGGTCAGTAAGCATACCGTAGGGTCAGGTCACGATAAACGCTGGATCGAAACCAAAAATTCCCTGAAAAGCGCTCCAATGTGGTTGTTCGACAAACAAAATTCGCATATCTCACCCATTTCGCATGACGAAGCCATTTTTATGAAGTAGACACATATCCGATATTTCTTCTAGACAAAATGTGTTTTTGGAGTTTTCCATCATGTACTTATCTTGACTCAACAGTAAAGCCCCACTGTGCAGAATGAATATGATTTTCGTGATTGGGAGTCAATCAAGATTTACATCCACAGACCACTAGCACCTTTCAGCCAAATTTGCTTCTACTCACTTGACGTGACTTTATAGTAGATTCTTACAGTGAGAATGACAGTATCTTTAATAATTTTAATTAGTATGGTTTTGACAAAGTCAAAAGTCTTGTCCCCAAAATGGCAACTACTGCAAAGCTTGTTCTTGCCCTTTGCAGCCCTCACTTCCATTACCTCTAAATCGACTGAAATGTTTCACAGCATTTTATTAACAACAGTGCATACCAAGAAAAACATGTTGTGGGCCAAGATTAAATCTTTCTAATGAAGTACCAAATCATACTATGATTTTTTGATTTCCTTTGGAATTACGAGCTTAAAGCACACGAACTTATATAACCCTTATATAACCCACTAGGATAGGCAGGAACGTAGCAGAGTTACCG